TTCCGGCCCGTAACGCTGCAGCCAGAGCGCTGGGGTCAGTTTGATGAAGGAGTTTGGCGGCGTCTTCGTCCTCTGCCACGCCGGGGACAGTGTTTGCTTTTTACGGAGTCCGGGCGGGGCGGCCGTGGCCGCTGGCGCCCGTGGCCTCCGCATGCAGACCCGGCCGGCGTCGGCCGTGATCGAGCGGTCTTCGCACGTCAGCGACGGTGGCAGGGACACGTGCGGGTCGTCAGAGCCCGAGTGTCCGTGAATGGTAACGTGAATTCACACGTCACTCCCGGAAGGACTGGCCCGGGGCGGGCAGGGTGGGGCAGGCTGTCCTCCCGGCGGTCCGTCGGGGAAGTCGGCTTGGTGCAGCCGTCCGCGGTCTTGGTGCTTTCGGGAGGGAGACTTGGGGAGTTGCGCCCCGTCTTGCCCCTTCTGTGTGTGGGAGCGAGGGGGCTGCCGTTCGCGCCGCACTTCTGTGACGTTGGCCGCCTCGGGTTGTCGGTAGTTCCGTCACCGAGGACAAAAGTCTCCTGGGGTCTGGCGTGCGGAGGCTTCCACCTCTGTTGTCGTCCAGTCTTTTTCGGTGATGAAGGTGACATTTTCTTGTCTGTGTGAGGACTTCATTCCTTATCAGTCCCGCTCGGGTACCATCCGGGTGGCTCACTGGGCCGCACGCGCCCGCGGCGCCCGCCAGGTCTGGCTGGTGGGCGGAGCCGTGCGATTGGCTCCGCCGAAGCGGGAGAACCACGACCGTTGATGCTTGTGCAGGGTCCTGGCATCTTCCTGGTGGCGATGGTGCCCGACAGGTCTCAAGCTGAGAGTCCTCAGAGCTTTTATCCCACGACCCAGTCGTGGTCGCATCTTGCCAGCCGCGTGGCGGTGCTGCTCGGTGTGAGGGGAGCAGGGCCGGGGCTTCCCTGGAGTCAGAAGGCCTGGCGGGCCCTTTCTCCCTCTGCCCTCAGCTTTTCTCTGAGGGCCTGTGTCTGCCCTTCCTGTGGGTCAGGAGGGTAAGCAGGGTCGCCCGTGGGTCTGCACGTGGGACCCACTCCCTCAGCAGGCTCCGCTCACGGCAGGGGCAGCAGTCCTGTCCCCCCACCGCATCACTGGAGCCATTGCACGGCCCCTCTGGCGGGGCTGCTGTCGTGTCTTAAAGGTAGAGTCTGGATCGACGCGGAGACTGCATCGGGGTTGGCTCCCCGCCAGGACCTGCAGTCTCTCCAGTGGGGACCCCACCAGCTGACCACGCGTTGTGTGTGTGTGCGCGTGTGTGTGCGCACACGCTCCACATACTCTGTGCCTGGACAGTAGGCCTCGGGGCTCTGCATTTCCAAGTCCGTAGGTAAATACCTGAGGGTTTTTCTCTGAAAACTCATGACAGCAGTTGCACAGTTCCACAGAGACTAAAGCCTTCTCTGTCCTCACCGGGCACGGAACCTGTATGGCACTTGCCGTGACCATGCGCACGGCCGTGTCCCCAGCGGAATTCTAGCTCTCCACGACGCTCTTCCGTTTGCAGGTGTCGGGATTGCTGGGGTCACCCGTGCTCTAGCCTGCTGCGAAGGGATTGGGGTGTGTTGTACAGAGACTAAAGGGGAGAAGGCACGAGGGCAGGCATGGAAAGGAGTGATGGGTTTGCAGGGCACAGCGGCGCCAGGAATACGCGTTGTCGCATGGGGAGCAGCTCCTGAACGAAAGCCCCCGAGCGCCGGCGTGGGGTGCGCAGGCTCTGCGGACAGATGCCAGTCCAGACAGCGGCGAGCTTCCCGGTCAGCGCTGTGGGGAGTTCTTCGCTTCACGTTAGGGAAGGGAGGAGTCAGTCATTTTGTTTTTAATTCATTAGTTAACACGATGGAGTATCAGCTTCTGGCGGACAGGACCGGGACTCCGTTCTTCCAGACACGTCCCGGGGCTCAGCACGACAGGCGCCCTCCTCCGTCCCCACCCCGGCCCACGTCCCCTCTGGTGACCGTCAGCGTGTTCTCTGTAGGTCAGTCAGTTTCTTGGTTTGCCTCTTGGTTTCTTTTCTTTTTTTTCCTTTGCTCGTGTGTTTTGTTTCCTAAATTCCACATGAGTGAAATCATACGGTACTTGTCTTTCTCTGACTTGACTTTGCCTGGGATAGACTCTCCAGCTCCGGCCGGCCGGCTGCGGGAGCTCGTGCTTTTTGATGGCGGATACTCCACCGTGTGCATACAGACCGCGTCTCTGCCCGCTTGTCTGTCGATGGACATTCGGGCGCTCTCCGTGATTTAGGTCTTGTTGATAATGCTGCTATAAACTCTGGGGTGCACATTTTTGAGTTAGGATTTTTATGTTCTTCAGGTAAATGCCCAATAGTGCAATTGCTGGGTCGTAGGGTAGTTCTATTTTCAACTTCTTGAGGAACCTCCATGCTGTTTTCCAGAGTGGCTGCACCAGCTTGCGTTCCTGCCAACAGTGTGGGAGGTTCCCCTTTCTCCGCATCCTCGCCAGCATCTGTCATTTCCCGACTTGTTAATTTTAGCCATCCTGACTGGTGTGAGGTGGGATCTCATTGTGGTTTTGATTGGTATTTCCCTGATGCCCAGTGATGTGGAGCACTTTTTCATGTGTCTGTTGGCCATCTGGATGTCTTCTTTGCAGAAATGTCTGTTCACGTCCTCTGCCCATTTTTTAATTGGATTATTCATTTTGGAGGGGGTTGAGTTTTGTAAGATCTTTACGGATTTTGGATACTAGCCCTTTATCTGATATGTCATTTGAGAATATCTTCTCCCATTCTGTCAGTCGTCTTTTGGTTTTGTTGACTGTTTCCTTTGCTGTGCAGAAGCTTTCTACCTCGATGAAGTCCCGATAGTTCATTTTGGCCCTTGTTCCCTTGCCTTTCGCGATGTTTCTAGGAAGAAGTTGCTGCGGCTGAGGTCGAAGAGGTTGCTGCCTGTGTTCTCTAGGACCGTGATGGATTCCTTTCTCACACTGAGGTCTTTCATTCATTTTGAGTCTATTCTCGTGTGTGGTGTAAGGAAATGGTCTACTTTCATTCTTCTGCCTGTGGCTGTCCCATGTTCCCACCACCATTTGTTGAAGAGACCATCTTTTTTTCCATTGGACATTCTTTCCTGGTTTGTAGAAAATCAGTTGACCGTAGAGCTGAGGGTCCATTTCCGGGCTCTCTGTTCTGTTCTGTTGATGTGCGTGTGTGCAGGTGGGCATTGGGGATTAAGTGGGACTAGTGTGTGCAGAGCTGGAGAACAGAGCTGTTGGTGAGCACTTTCCAGGCAGAGGGGGAAATATGAAGACAGACAAATGCGTGAAGCCTTTTTGGAAAGGGAAGGTGAGTAATGGGAAACAAGGTTGGAAAGGTAGGATGGGCACCAGGTTTCAGAGGACGACACATTATGGGCTTTGTTAGTGTAAACAGACCAGTCCATGAACACAGGATGCCTTCGCTCTCGTTAATATTTTCGGCATCTCTCATCAGTGTCTGGTGGTTTTCAGGGTAGAGCTCTTCAACATTGACATGTAACCCTGAGTATTTTGTTTCTGATGCTGTTGTAAATGGGATCTTTATCTTTCAGATACTTTGTTGTCTGTGTGTAGAAATGTCGCTGTTCTTGGAATGTTGATTTTGTGTCCTGTAACTTCATTGAGTTTATGCATCCGCTCTACCAGGTTTTGGTGGAGTCTTTGGGATTTTCTGTTTATGAAACATGTTGTGTGCCAAGAGAAACTGCCATGCCTGGACTTCTGGTGTGTGGTCGTGGTCACTCCACCTCCCTCGGGACCCTGACCTGTAGATTCTGAGGGCCGCTGGAGGCCTGTTCTACGGGGACGTCACTCTGTGGAAGGACACCACTTCCCTAAGGTTTTATCATGAACACATGTTGAATTTTGTCAGATGCTTTTGTGTCTCCAAGAACCAGGACGGAATGATCGCAGTCCGTTACTGCTGTGTATCCCATGGATTCATTTTCGCATGCCAGACCATCCCTGCATCCCAGGGACGGATCCCCAAGGAGTCTGGTGAGCCTGTGCATGGGCTGGCTTCTGTCAGTAGGAACAAATTTTGGCATTTATATTTGCGGGATTTACTTTCAAGTTTTCTGGTTTCTCCTTTTTTTTTTCCCCAAGATTTTATTTGACAGATCGCAAGTAGGCAGAGAGAGAGGAAAGCAGGCTCCCTGCTGAGCAGAGAGCCCGATGCGGGGCTTGATCCCAGGACCCTGAGATCATGACCTGAGCCAAGGGCAGAGGCTTAACCCACTGAGCCATCCAGGTACCCCCTGATGCTGGCTTTTTAAATTTTTTTTTTTAAGATTTTATTTATTTATTTGACAGAGATCACAAGTAGTCAGAGAGGCAGGCAGAGAGAGAGGGGGAAGCAGGCTCCCTGCTGAGCAGAGAGCCCGATGCGGGGCTCGATCCCAGGACCCTGGGATCATGACCCTAGCCGAAGGCAGAGGCTTTAACCCACTGAGCCACCCAGGCGCCCCTGATGCTGGCTTTTTAAAATGAGTTTCGGGTGGGTGAGGTCCCCGCTGTCTGTGTCAGTAGGGCCTGTGACTCCTGATCTCAGGACGTCATGAGTTCAAGCCCCATGTTGGGCCTAGAGAGTACTTTTTCAAAAAGTACTTTTACTCCTCACTGGTCTGTTGAATCTGTTTCTCGTGGACTCGGTCTCTGCAGAGCTCGTTTCAGCTGTGGCTGGGCTGTGGCCGCCAGACCGGCTCGGCCCCCTTGTCTGGGCAAGGATGGACCAGGCTCCGGCGCAGGTCAGGTTCTTCTCACATGAACGTACCCGTTTTTCTGATTCTTCCCAGCAGAAGCGGGAAGGGGCGTGAACAGCGCGTCCTGAGCGCGGCTTGTCAGACGTTGCTGTTCTGGACGTCTGGGGTGGCCCTGACACAATTTCCGCTGCTCCCAGGGGAGCCTGTTGACACTTCTGTGTCGCTGGAACCCTACAGTGTATGCCTCTTTACTTGAGGCTTTTCTCTGGAGTTTGAGGAAATGAAGTAAAACCACACACAAAAAGCTCTTAAATGAAAAAATTTTATTCTAAAAATAGATCTCAGTAACAGTGAAATACCAAAAGTTGGTTATTATAATAAAAAGAGAAAAGGAATCTGCTTTAAGGCTTTAAGTCTCCTGAAAAATACAAAAGTCTCACTAATATATCGCCAACTCTTATCTGTGGGGGAAATGCTCATTTTTTGAATTACCTTAAGTCCTAGATTGGATTCTACCAGCTCTTCAAGTGGATACATTCTCAAGGAAGCAAAGAGAAGTGCGCACCTGCTGAAGCAAACACACCGAGGACAGGAATTTAGGCTTAGGGCGTGGGGGCCACGTGGGAGCCGTGCTCCAGCTTCCCGACACGGAAGACAGTTTTTAGACCCAAAGGCAGCTGGAAAGGCATTTAATGGCATTTCTTCTAACAGGCAGAGTCAGGCCCGGCTTCCAGGTTCTGACGGACCCCAACCCCTGAAGCGGGAAGCACGCAGGAAACAGAAGGACGACTGGAAAGGCCCTCGTGGGACTCCAGACGGAAGCTTGTACTCGGGGCGTGAGCGGATTTCACAGCGAGAGCCGGCGGCGCTGTTGGGTCGCGAACGCAGTCCCCTCTCTGCAGCCGGGGCCGCCCCGTGCTTCCGTGTCTTCCCGCCGCAGCGCGTGCCTCGCAGACCCGCCCTGTCCCTCCCGTCTGTGGGCCATGATGCAGAGTAGAAATGGCGCTTTTATATGAAATTCATGGCATTCTCTGAAAGCCCAATGCTGGTCACAAGTTACATTTAAGCCCTGTTCGGTGTAGACGCAGGGTGATTTGGACATCTGAGCTATTTCTGAATTAGCAGACAAAAGAAATGCCATTTTAGTGAAGTCCAGCCTAGCCTGGTGGTCCTTTAGTAGGACTACCTACTTTTTTTTTTTTTTTGGCCAAGCTTGACCCTGAGTTTTGGCTGCTGTAATCTAAACCATAAAGCCGAACCCTTGGACCTCTGTGGACGGACACTGCTGTCAGCACAACCCAGCCGGGTGCCCTCCATGGGAGATGAGGGGCCTCAAGACTTGTAAGCTTCTGTTTTTAAAAACTGAAGACTCTAATCCCAGTACAAAGCTTTTTTTAGTATACTAATTTCCCCAAATCGGAGGAAAATCAGCAGTGCACAAGAACGCAGGATCGTCCTGCGGTAGGGGAGGGGCGCCCTCCCGGGGGTGGGAACGCAGCCATGAGCCCTGGCAGAAGGGGTGTCGTGAGCGGGGGGAGGGGGGGTGTCCAACTGCGTTACGGGGTCCAGCTACAGGAAGCAGCCCTGCCGTTTCCAGCAGGGACACTGTCGTCACAGCCGCTTTAAACCCTCGGTCACACTGCAGTTCCCGACTTCCACCAACCACCCGGAGCGCGGAGTACTGAGCCGGAAAAGCCGCGGCTTCCTCTGCTCTCTGCTCCGTGGCGTCGGTGTGAAAATCCTAAGGTCCGAATGGGGGGCTGCCCTTTCGGGAGGAGGTTGTTAGTCACGCCCCAGGGTGACCAGGGCTACGCTGCAGGGGAGGACTTGTCTCTATTTGTCAACATTAACTGCCCGTTCCAGACACATATGTAGAAACCCAAACCCTTTTTGCGATAGGTTGTACAGCAGGTGCATGGCCGTCCTCACAAGTGGGAGGGCTGTTCCCAGTCTTCTTTCCGTGGCTCCTTACATTTCCTTAAATGATGGCGTCGTGTTCGTCACTGTAAGACATGAGAAGTTGAAACTTTTGTATTTTCAGATTAATAATTTCAAGCTCTGGGATCAACACTGGCCTTTACAGAAACCTTGCTGACGCATCGCGCCCACCACATGCCGGAGGATCCGGGCGCACTTCCTCTCGGCCTCTGCTCTGCCCTCCCCAGCCGAGCACCCAGGAGCCCTTGAACCTTTGCTCCGTGGGAGGTGCGGTGCGAGCGACCCGCGTATCTTATGCAGGCAGCTGGCCGAGGACCCACCGGTGCGCGGGACGGCCCGGCTGCGCACAGGTGAGCACTGCTCTCTGCGGGCCCAGCACCACTGGCTTCCACCGCTTCTGCCCCGGACAGACCGCACCGCAGTGCATGAGAACCTCCCAGCTTCGGAGCCGCTCCTGCCGTTGCACCCCACAGACTAGCGCGCCCCCGAACTTCAGAGCAGCGTGTCTGCCCCGTCCACGTTCTTCCCGGGGCCTGCAGGGCAGAGTGCGTGGGGAGCACAGGGTGCTGCAGGGGCCACCCCGGGCAGGACTGGAGCTCAGAGAAGCTGAAGGGACCTGGTTCAGCGCTCTGTAGCCTCCCCTCCATCAGTAAACAGCAGTGCTGGAAAACACGAGTGGCCCTGGATTTACTCAGAATGTACCTTGTTCTAACTGGGGAAATTCACCAAGAGCATGAGATAAATTCCTCTAGAAACACAGAGGTATCCAACACGCTCAGTCCAGTCTGTTTCTTCCAGATGTGCAGGCAAAATGCACCGAGTTTGCCAAAGCCTCGTGTCTCTTGGTTCAGTGGTCAACCTGGGAGGCCCTTTCTTGCTCTCCTCTGTCCTGGGAACTCAAGACGCGTGCCCACGTCTCCAGGCCTCAGGGCACCTGGTGTCAGGTGACCCGTTGTCTCTCTTCATCCTGTCAGTTCCACACCCAGCAGAAGCGCAGCGTCCGTGCAGGGGATCTGTGCTATCGGTTCCTGCACCCCAGTAAGAATCAGCCCAGAAAGGACTTCTGAGAACTAGAGTAGCGAAGAGGTGACCCCCCTCACAGCTCCAGGCCTACGGAAGGGGCACGTGCCGTCCCCCGAGGGGGCCTTGCTGGTCAGGTGACATCTGCTCACTCACCATACTGAGTTACCGGAGAGACCGACAGGATTTCTTTCAAACCCTGTTTCTAGTGGGGCCGTGCCGCGGACGAGCAGACGTGCTCAGCACAGCCGGTCCAACGCCTCCGGGCCCGAGGGGCGTGACTACCTCTTCCCCGGCGTGGGCACGGGTGTCCGTTTGTACTTGCAAGTCGCCAACGACCTTTGGGCACAGGATTACTCGGAATGTGACTGCTAGCTCCGGGGCCGTGCTCTGGCATTTGGCCGTGGTATTTTAAGGAAATAGAGAAACACGTTCTGGCCAAGACTCACATGGTTCTGTAGCGAATGCCTCGTCTCGAATAGTACGTCCTGCACCCGACAAAGAGAAGCGACAGGACTCCCAGCGTCAACACGATACCGCCCAGGAAGCTGCCAATGTCGAACTTTGATCCTGGGTTTCCGATGGAATTCACAGTTGGTGTGACTGGAAGAAAACAAAAGACAGGCGTTAGTAGCCTTTAAACAACATTGTTAAACTGCCACTGCGAACTTCTAAGAAAAGTCGAAAGCCTGCTTTGTGCTGGGTGCTGGCTGGGCTCCGGGTGCCTCCAGCCGATGTAGCATCTCTCCCGGTCCCGCCCGTCCCTGCATCGGAGGGTTTTTGTGCTCCTGGACCCCGACCTTCCACCACAGCCCCCAAGGCAGTCCCAGGTGGGGAACTGGGTTCCTTTTTGGTGCCCCTAAGAGTCTGCCTGAACCACGGGCTCCACAGCAGTGATCCTGCGGCTGGATCCAGTCTCCGTGGTTCTGACCAGAACTTCTCCCGCATAAACTGGGGACTTAACTATTTTGGCTTTATCACATCACAGGCACTTGAGAACGTAGACTAGCAAGAACGCTGTGGAGTGGAGGCCAGAAAGCCCAAGGCGTGTGCTGGTAAATGCGGTCGCGAGCTGCTTGGTACGGCCACACTCTGCGTCCGTGAAGGTCAAGGTTTAGGTTCTGAATTCATGGTTTCCCAGGCGTTTTTGAGACAAACGCAAAGCATGAACAGTGCTGGCTGACCGCAGGGCCTGCCCCGGGATGACCTGGAGGGCCCGACGGTGGAGCTGAGCTGGAAGCACGGGAACCGTGGTGGGGCCGTAGAGCCTGGCGCCGCCGCTACCTGCTTCTGCTCTGTATCGAGGGACCCGGAGGGCCAGACAGGACACGTTTTCAAATCACATGACCGTTCCCTGCTAGGATGTGTCCCCCCACCGTCGTCATGCGGCCTGTGAAGTCGGAAACTCATCATCCATGGGGATGGGCCCAGCAGGACTGAAGCCACCAACGTGTGCAACAGGACAGCCCTGTCCGCACTTGCTCTTCGCAGGAGCGCGGATGACAGGAACGTGGCACGGGACCGCCACGCTCAGCAGACACGGGGGCCGGGGGCAGCTTTGATACGTACGTTTCACGGAGGAAGAAACGGACGTGACCGAACTGTTGTGGGCTGGGGTGGTCACTGAGGCTGGCGTTGTCTCCGTTGTGTTCTGGGAAACTGAGCCGGTGTGAGTCCTGTTGGTGGAGTCCGCAGGTGTGGTGATTTGAGCTGTTGCTGTGGATGTCGAGGCCATGACTGCCTCTGTCTTGGCGACTGAAGACCGTGGCGTCGTCAATGGTCTCATGGTACTGGTGGGCTGGCTTGTGAGGTTGGAGGTCACAGTGGTGACATTTTCTGCAAGACGATGGTGAGATGTTAGCTGTGGTGCAGAGGCTCAGGGAATCGGGACCCACGTCGTGGAGGACCCAGCTGCACGGAGACACCGAGTCCCCCCACCTCCCCAAAGCCAGCAGGTGCAACGGCCCAGTGTCGCAGGCGGGAAGCGACCCTGCGGGGTCCCAGCCTGTGCTGCCACGAAGCTGGGAGCTCGGAGACAGTTAATGATTCTGCACCACCTCTTTCCCTGGCGCTTCGTGCGAGTGAGCGTGAGCTGTGCGTTAAGCCCCTGCACGGGCTGTGGTGGGGAAGGTCAGGGCTACTTCCCGCCGTGCGCCGGGTTTTCGTAAAAAGGCGCCTGTCACTACTCCCCGGAATACCTAAGAAGAAAACTCGTTTCCCATTTGGAAAACGGCTTCCTCCTGGCCCTGTGTGTACGTCGGAGTGAGGCTGTGCCCGAAAGCCAGCTCGTTCCGCACGGAACCTTCCCCGGAGCGTCATGGCCTCTGTGTCGCAGCCACGGGCACTTCCGGCCCTGGACTTGGGCTGTGTGGGCGGCTTGTTTCCGCTTTTACTTTTCAGATTTCTAGTACTTTTTCTTAGCTTTGGGTCCCTACTGTGTGGTGTCACCCACAGAGCATTATCTAGTTTTTTACAAAGGCCAAAAGAATGCTTCTGTACTGTAGTTACCGCACAGAGAGGACACAAATGACCACCTGAACTCTGAATGCGCGCTCTAGAGAGACTACGCTTCACGTCGGCAACCTCCCCACTTTCACACGGGTGCGCACGCCGCTGCGGTGGGACAGAACACGGGAGCGGTGTGGTGTGGACACGGCATCTTCAGAACGATCTCTGCACGGTGAAACGAACGACACGGCTGCTTTTGGATGCAGCACACGGGCGCGCACACACGCACGCGCGCGCGCACACGGGTCCCCTTCTCTGCAGGGAGACGTTCTTCAGAGATATTGGACAGAGGCACGGAGGTAGAAGCAGGAGCTGCGGTAGGTTTACCCAAATAAGGAGAACCCAAGTGCGTTGGAGAAACAAGCTCAGCTTCCCACACATTGAGAAAACAGGCAGGCAAGTTGGGTACTAAACCGTGTCAGGACGTGTGGACGCGTGAACCGATTGGGAAGCTCCCACTGCGGTCAGCGCTCAGGCCCACAGAAGCGACGCGCTCGCCTGGGGTACGAGTGCCCGCCCGTCCCTCCTGGGAGGCCCCACTCACTGCAGGTAGGGGAGGCAGGTGCGGGGAGCATCAGCAGGCACAGAGCGAGGCGTGGTGCGGGCAGCGCTGTACCGTGTCTGAGGCTGCTCGATTCCTACGTCCAAAATTAAAATTCCAAAAGGGAGACCAGCTGTATCCATTAACACAGAAACATAACTAAGGTGTTTAAATAAGGTCTCGGGTACCCGGGATGGTATGTTTGTCCCAGTGCCTCGTGGGACACAGCTGAGCGGGGCTTGGAGCCCCGCGTCCCTGCTCTTGCCCAAGGCTGTGCCCGTGCTGCTCTGTTTGCATACACTCTCCCCCAGGTAGTCCGTCACCCCCGCTAATGACAAAAAGGGCATGGATCACAGTCACAAGGGCATCGGCAAGAACGGTCATTTCCGTCTCCTGCTGCTCAAAACCGGCCGAGCTTCTCACCCTGGCGCTTCTCACCGTGTGTGGCACAGAACGCACTCTCGGTCCCCCCGGCCCGCACACGCACAGACGATGCTAGGAGCGCGCGGTCCAGGCTCTGAACAGCGCACTTGCGTTGTTCCACTTTCATCTCCCTTCTCATCAAATGTCTGTTTTCCATTTTTTGGACCTCTTCGTTGTATTATTTAATAAAAATTAGTGCATACTGTTGAGAGAGAGAGATGCCAATGTAGGGGGGAGGGGCAGAGGGGGAAGGAGGGAGAGAATCCCAAGCAGACGTCCTGCTCCGTGTGTAGCCTGTCACAGGACTCGATCCCAGGACCCTGAGATCTTGACCTGAGCTGAAATCAAGAGTCAGAAGCTTAACTCGACTGAGCCACCTACGTGCCCCCCCCCCTCCAAATTATTGTATCTTGCTTTGCTTTTCAACAGATTAGCAGGTCACCAACTGCACGGCCTCCTGTTGCATTTTCACTGAACTGCACACAGGCCAGTGGGACTCGCTGGACCCGTCCAGCAACCAGAAGGCAGGTCCCGGCTCCCCATAGGACCCTCTGTGCCTTCCCCTTGCGGGTCCCCATCTCCGTGCTTCGCTCCTGCTCCTTCCTGGGCCTGTGGTGCTCCCTCAGTCTCGTGAAGCTCTGCTCCCGTTCAAGGCCCAGCCCAGGCAGCACGCCGACCGCACGGGAAACGCACGAACGGGCCGCTGACAAGATGCGGATTAGGAGACGGTAAGAAGCAGCCCCGAGCTGTGCGTTCGCAGGAGACCCGAACTTGACCAGTGCGGACAGTGAAAGCACAGAGGTTACCACAAGCCAGTAACCGAGTGGGGAACAGGCAGAAGTTCCGGCTCCATGTGGCCACCCAGCAGAGCCCGTCACCTCCTCCGGTGCACACCAAATCCGCACGGACCCACGGAACGACTTCCTCTGGAAAACCCCACAACTAGGTGACCAACTCCTCCACGTGGAGCAGAGACGAGCCGCGGGGCACCAGGTGGGAGAGGCTGAGACCCCAGCTTGCTGTGCCTCCCCTCCCCGCCCGGCACAGTGAGCCCCGTCCCAAGAGAACTCGCAACCCGTTCCCCGAACCCCACATCAGGTGCCCCACCCTGCACACCTGCCCGGGGAGCTGAGCCCAGAGGCCCTCTGGCCTTGAAAACCAGCAGGGCTCAGGCCCACCACACCCCCAGACACCTTTAAGGGGTTCACTTACTCAGTGTTGCTGGCCCAGGGACAAGCATGGAGGCAGCCGGGTGACAGATGCCCAGACTTTACGTCAAAGAGGCTCACCTGCTCATCCTCCAGTGTTGGCCCGGATGGCAGGCACGGACTTCCACACACATCGGGGGCCTGATGGGTCCTCTCTGGGGTGGAGATGGTCTCGCCCTCTGCCTCACTGCAGCCCCCCAGTATCTCCAGGACAAGAGCCCGCAGCCCGCCCCCCCTTTGCTGGCCTGGCTCTGGTGGCCGCGATCTGCATTCCTGGGTCCCACGGACTGTAACACCTGGGAAGGCAGTTCCAGGCCAAATGCCTCCCCAGGGCACTGGACACACAGCAGACTGAAACACACTCGTCCTTCCGTGAAAGCAGCCCATTCCCTCGGGCTCCGGCACCTTCACGCTCCGCCTGCCTCCCTCCAGGTCACTGGCGTCTCTTGGAAAGGAGCTTGAACACTTGCCTGGCCGCTGCATTTTTTAAAGCGCTGTGCAGCGGACGCCTCCAGCTCGCCTGGCTGGTGGCCAGCAGGACGTGTGCGTCAGTCCCCGTGTGTCTGGCCTGCTTCCAGTGCTGCTGCCTGAGCATGTGGCTGACAATCAGCCTGAGCCTCGGTTCTGGGACTGTCCTCCCACGGGCAGGGCTTGGCGCAGCCTCGGCTCCTGGGAGCCATGAGAAATAAAAGGACACTTCATGATCGCAAAGTTCTGAAAGACGAGCTAGGGTAGGACTGAGAGGTGAGGTTCATCTGCTACCAAAGCCACCCCCCTTCAAGAATGAGAGACACCTGCTTCATCTGTGTGAGCTAGCGGGTAGTGGAGAAACAGGAACACAGTCCAAAGTAAACCACAAAAACCTCAGAAAAAGTTCTTAATGAAATGGAAATAATTTACCTGATAAAGAGTTAAAAATAATGGTCAAAAAGATGCTCCCTGAACTTGGTAGAGGAATGGAGGAACACAGTGGGAACTTCGACTGAGAAAGAAAACAAAGTCCCACGGAGAAGCCACATTGCTGAAGAACACAGCAGCTGGTCGGAAAAGCACCAGAGGGGCCCCACAGCCAGCTGGTTTCCACAGAAGAAAAGATGAGCAGAACTCACCCAGTCACAGAAGCAAAAGGATAAAAGATTGAATAAAAGTGAAGACAGCTTAAGGGACTTACGGGGCAAGGTCAAGCAAAGCAATATGTCCACATTACAGGAGCCCCAGAAGAAAGAAAGAAAGGAGCAAAAAATCTGAAGAAATCGTGGCTGAAAAGTTTCCTAACCTGGGGAAGGACACAGACATCCAGGTCCAGGACGCACACAAAGTTCCAAATAAAAGGAAACCACAGAGATCCACGCCAAGACACATCCCAATTAAAACATGAAGCATTAAATAAAGGAGAGAATCTTAAGGGCACCAGGAGAAAAACCACCGGTTATGCACAAGGGAAGCCCCACAAGATGGTCAGATTTTCCAGCAGATGCTCTATGGGCCAGAAGAGAGTGGCAAAACACGTTCTAAGCGTGCAAAGAAAAAACTTCCAACCAAGAATACACAATCTGGCAAAGCTGTCGTTTGTTAATGAAGAATTTTCCAGAAAAGCAAAAGCTCAAGTCGTTTGTCCCAATCAAACCAGACTTACAAGAAACGTTAACAGGACTTTTAAAGCCAAAACAAAAAGGTGCTGGTTAGTGACAGGAAAACACATGGAAGAATAAAAGGACAGTTGAGACGGAGCTACTGTTGGGAAGGTGGTGGGTTCGTGGCTCACAAAGCCACACAAGGTTAAAAGTCAAAAGCACTAAAAGCAGGACCGTGGTAGCGAATCAAGGGATGTACAGTATGAAAGACGTAATGTGACAAAGTCCTAACACCTGGGGGAGGGAGAAGAGACGTAGGTGACCGTCCACTGAAGGAGGCCGCTGTAACTGGGAGCGGTTCTCCCGCAACCCAGTCGCCGCAGCAGCAGAGCGAGGCCCTGCGGGAGAAGCACAGGCGGGACGGGAAAGGTCGACGCACACGGCGGGAGAAGCGCCAGGCCGAAGGAAGACCGGGAGAAGGGAACAGAGGCACAGCACAGCAGCCGGGAGAGAACAGAACAAAACGGCAGTGAGGACATTCCTGCCAATAATTACTCTACATGCAAGCGGACTAAATTCTAC